CTCCCTGCAGCACCTGGTCAAGGTAAGGGCGAGGCAGGCCGCAGGCCTGGGGCGAGGGGAGGAGAGGAGGGGCCGGTGGCGTCTCGGCAGGCCTGGGGGCACCGCGCTGCGGGGAGCGGGACACTGAGGTGAGCGGCGTCTTGAGGGTGAACAGTCTGTGGGGAAAGTGCTGCAGAGAGGGACCCTGGAGAGGCTGCACAGCTCTGTGCCGAGCCGTTCATCGCCAGGGTTGACCTCTGGCCAGGCTCCCAAGCTAGCGTAACAGTTTTGACCCGCCCAGCTCGCTTTATGCACTGGAGGCATAATTTATAGCTACTGTAATTTAGCACATTACTCCGCTCCCAGTTCCTTCTGTTCTGTGTCCCTTTTAATAGGTGCTTGCTGAGTCTAATCCCGGCCGATACGGCTTCCTCTGGCACTGGTTCGATGAGATCTATGTCCTTCTTCCTTTTCTGAAAACTTCTATAGCTTAAAGAGGATACCGATAGGAGACTGCAGACAGCAGCCTCTGGCCACTGCTGGCCTGCCAAAGAGGCAGCACTGGAAGTCTCTCCTCTTGCTGGTTCTTGTTCCTTACCTGAAAGGAAAGCTAGAGAAACTGGTGTCTAGCCTGAGGGAAGAGGATGAGTACTCCATCCACCCTCCATCGTCGTCCTGGAAGCGCTTTTACAGAGCCTTTCTAGCTGCCTACCCCTTTGTAAACATGACCTGGGAGGGCTGGTTTCTTGTCCAGCAACTGTGCTATATCCTCGGGAAAGCTCAGCACCATTCACCCATGCTGCGGCTGGCTGGCGTTCGCCTCGTCAGACTGACTGCAGAGGACATCAAGGCCCTGGAGAAGAAATTGTCTGGAGCCACCTCAAGTCAAACACACAGGTATGTCAGAACATGGCTTAGCCGCTGCTTTCTAGAGGGTTCTGTGGATGCGTTAATTTGGAGGTGATGCTGCAAGTAAAACTGTCTTGTTCTCCAGAAATTCTTCAAGGTGAAGTTTACCTCTGGCAAAACGTGCTCCAAAAGGGCATATCGTTAGTGTGAATAAGGAAACAAGTAGCAGGGATTAGCTTCACAAGATTTTGTGGTAATAAAATTGCAGTGTTGGGGGGGGAGGGGGCAGGGTTGGCACTCCAGCCTTTATCCTGTTCAGTCTTCACCTGCACTTTTCTAACAAGGCAAGTAGACTGCAACAATTTTGCTAAAAGGACTGAAACTTAGCTCTTTGATTTTTCTGAGCAGCAGCTAGTCATGACCATGCTCATTGTCCTGTAAAATGATGAACCATGAGTGAAATGCTCTATGGTCCAGGTCCCCTCAATCCAAACTCTTCCAATTTAGACTTCTGAACAAAACAGGACTTGAAGCTTTCTTAAAATACAAAGAACCTGAGAGAAACGTCCTAGCAGTTGCCTCATTACAAACATGGGATACGTTGACCAACTTCCTTAGCATTAAGAAGCTGTATGAAGCAGTGACTGACTCCCCGGGTCCTTTTTGCCTTGGTTTGCAGGTGGACAGATACGCAGTAGTAACGATTTCTCCATATCTTCTCTCTTTTACAGCATTAAAACACAAGTGCAGTCAGCAGCGAGGAAGGCGTTGGGTGGCATCGCCTTCTCCCTGTCCACCGGGCTGTCCGTCAGTGTGTTCTTCCTCCAGTTCCTGGACTGGTGGTACTCCTCAGAAAACCAAGACACGATCAAATCTCTGACAGCGCTCCCTACTCCTCCACCCCCTGTACACCTCGACCACGGGGCCAGCTCAGCTCTCTTACCCAAACTGAAGACCGTGTGCCCTCTGTGCTGCAAAATTCGCATCAATGCTACCGCCCTGTCCACGTCCGGCTTTGTGTTTTGCTACCGCTGCGTGTACAGTTACGTGAAGACTCACCAGCGCTGCCCGATCACAGGCTACGCCACAGAGCTGCAGCACCTTGTCAAACTGTACTCTCCTGAGAGCTGAAAGGCCTGCCCTGGGCTTTCAGAGATAGATACGTCTCTGAGGCTAGCAGCTGGGTAGCAGTGAGCTTAAATTCGCCCCTTCTTATGTCCCGTAGCACACTTGTGACCACTACAGCTCATCGTTGAGCTCTAAAGCTCCTTTGAACTTGGTGGTACAGCAGAGCTTTGCCGCCTTTGTGAATTCTGGTAGGGCTCTCCCCGTTGTTTATTGGCTCTTCAAACATCCTGTGACAGTTTCAGAGGGATCGGACAGCCACAATCTGTCAGCCAGCACAGAGATGCCTTCAAAGACCAACCAAAAGGGAAGAAACATTGATTTGGATAAGAAGAATGCAGATGTGAGGATCAAAGAGCGTCCCTGGTAAAAGCCCTGCTCGAGGGCATGAGCCAGCAAATTAAAGAGGTAGGGAAAATTCTCTAGGCGAGTTATTCCTCCCTTAGCAGCTTCCCAGGCGCTCGTGCTGCCCGGGGCGAGCTCTGGCACCAGTGCTTGTCGAAGAGGTAGAGACAGGCTTAAACCTCTCCTCTGATCATGCTATTCTTAAGTCTCCCTGCATTTTCAGGCTACTCGCCTCTGAATTGCGAACATCGCACCCCTAATTCCCATGAACAGTTCTAAATTAAGACTTTCCACTCTTTAAAGGAACAAGGGGTGATGTGTACAAACAAGGATACAAGAGGGAGGTTACATTTTCTGCACAAGGGAGAAACATGACAAACCAGATTAAAGCAGCAACTGTGCCAATTGATGAGAGTTGGGTTTTGTTAAGTAAGTCTTTGAATCTGTTATTATCTGCTTTCATAAAGCAAAATTGTTTCTTGATTGAGAATCTAACTTAGTTCTTTTCTGAGGATTGGAGAAACAGAGCTTGCTCCTCTAGGGGCTCTATTTACATAAGGGAGACTAAAACTGCTTTCATCTTTGCAGATGATGATAATGGATATAAGATTAGTATTCTGTAGGCTGGGAATCTTTAATGTCTATGTTTGATTTAAGAATTACATTGCAATTATTCCAGTCCCAACCATGTAGCACATTCATAGCATAAGAAAGCATCCTTTAATTGAACAGAGGAGAAAAGAAAATGAGTGTAACATTATGGCTAGTTCTTGCTTGACACCCGATTCTTCAGGAGGGAAGGTTTTTTCCTGACTCGGCTCTAGGGAGCAGCAGTTCGCTACTCCAGACATCACGGTGACTTTGCTTATAGAATATGAAGAGTAAAGTTTGCTGCACGAAGTACAAGGTCTTTCCAGATTAAGAGATACGTTCTAACATTTAATCCACTGAACCAGCCATCTCATTTTCCCCCCACTTTAGCTCTGCTTCAGAAGATAGAAATCTCTAACGTCCTCCCTCACCTGCAAGCAAGAGAGCAAGGTTATTGAATAACGTGAGAAAATACAGTAATTTGCATCTGCCCGAAGATGCTCTGGAAAACACCTGTTGTAACAAATGAGATTTGTCCCCGACGCTTGTCTTACTATCTCGGTACAACTTCTGCCTGTGCCACTATGAAATGATAATAAACTGTCTCATTTCTCCTTTCTCCAGTAGTTACGGGATCCATAAAGACACTTCCTTTAGAAAGCCAGCACACTTCCTGTAGAAAGAGCACACACATCTTACTGGAAAAGAAATCACATCAAGGTGTGAGGTTTTCTGAGATTTCAAATCACTCTTAACATAGCTGGCTTTGGGCTGGATACTAATTCACATCACTTGCTACATCAGTTTTGCTTCATACACAGAGATCATCATCCCTGTGAAAAACCAGCACCCAAGATGCTCCACTGCTGCTGGACGGTCTTACAATACCTGTCTGATTAGACAGACGTCGGCCCGATTGTCCCGTTGACTCTAGTGCAACCGCTCATTTAAATAAGGGCTGAAGGATTTGCCTGACGAGCCAGTTTCAGGATAGGTTTCTTTTCCTTTTATCCTTCCTACACTTTCCAGATTATCTGTCTGCTGCTCAGTGAGGAGCTGGGCAGACCTGGGACAGAAGACTGACCGATGCCGACTCACCCGCCAGCACTGCAGAGCTCTTGGGCAAGTTCTGCACCATCCTCCCCTCTAGCCCAGGATTCGCCAACTGCTGGACAGCACAACCGAGTTGCCTGCATGCACGCCGCTCCAGGGCCTCTACACCTCCTTCTCCTGGAGTTAATCCCTCTTCCTCTCTCCAGAATGGCCACCAGATTGCCCGCCTGTCAGGCCCTGGCTGCCTTCCACTCTACCTCTCCCCACACCACGCTGCGCAACACCCTGTCCCTGCCAAACTTGGATTTGGCCAACTCCACGGCAGCTCTGAGACCTGCACAGAACCACCCACATCTAAGCCTCGCAGTTCCGAACAGCTGTAATTACTCTTTTGAATATTAAATTGCTCTTTAATGCCTAGCTGACTAACAGGCGTTAAGCCCACAATGGTGACAGGCTCAGCAGTTACCTGGCAGATTTTATTGGTGTTCCTGCAGATGGCTGCAGAATACCAACTTGGATTTGACTGCTTCTTCTAACCCTCCTGTCCTTAGTAGCCAAATACATACCCATTTATCAGGTTTATTGCTCTAAAACAAACCCACGAAACCGATCTGCGTTATACAAACATTCCCGTTTATCTACTTTTTAACTGTAATAGTGTTACTAAAGCCATGACGGCCTAAAGACAGACAAGAAAAGATTTTTTCAAGGAACACCAACTTTATTAAATCAACCTTTGGACTTACATACTGATTTGTGACTTCTATATGGTCAGGTATCATATATGCATTCAGGATGCTTTGTTCTGTTGCTTAATACAATTACATCAACGTTAACAGCAGCACTGGAGTTGCCCAGTACATTACTGTCAGAACTTGACTTTGCAAGTCTTTTAAAAATGCTTAGTGAACCTCAACTCGTCTAGACACTCTCAAAAAATTAGTG